CATACTATTATACAGCTGAGATGTTATCCCAAGTTTTTTCATCGCCTTCCTTCTACAATACCCTACCAAATTATGCCGCTGAACACAAGAAAAGAGGAGATATCCGGAGAACCACAGGTTGCACTCGCGATAGGATGTTGCACATGGCGTGGACATGCCTCTATCGCCGGTGTACTGCGTAGTCCTCTTGTAATTACTTCTGTTCCTTCGGTGGGCCGCCACCGAACCAACCCGTGAAGCCACTTTTCATAGCCTTCATACCTTCTTCCTTGGCTCTCTCTTCATGCATCTGCTCCTCCTTCAACCACTTCTCTCCATTCTCCCGGATTTCCTTCTCCAGAGCCTCATAGTTCTTCTGTCCTCTCTCCCTTGCCTGATCTTGCAGCATCTTGCCCTGCGCGAATGCCTCAGCAGGCGACTGCTCACCATCTGCCATCACCATCATGCCTCCACTCTTGATCCCCAGCGCGCTACCCAGAGCGCCAAATCCGGAGTGCTTGGGCCGCTTCGTTTGCTCATCCTTGATCTGTTCTTGGAACTTAGCTCGAGCGATAGCCTCACGGCGAGCGAATTCAGTAGGGATATGCGTGCCTTCGAAGGACGCGATGGCTTTCCGTACGTCAGAGTAGGCCATGGTGTGGATGTACTCGAGGAAGGGAATTAAGGAGACGAGTTCTTTGTCTTTGACATCGCCCTCCCAGGGTTTGAGAATAATGGCATTCTCAGGCTGCCTTTTCGTGTGTGATGGCTTTGTATCGATTATAATGACTTTGGAGAGATCACGATTGAGATATGATAAATCCTAACTTTGTTAGCTACTGAAGAGAAACGAATAATGAGGGGCGTACCTTGATATATTCGCCTTTCTCATAGAGAGTAGCCTCTCGGAAGAGGGGCCAGGTGACGATATGATATGGGTCCAATTTGCGGATAACAGGATCAGCGAGTGCAGAGGGTTGAGATGTGAAGATGACCAGTTCGTAGTACTGACTTAGATATCGCAGGAAGTAGTCAACACCAGGTCGCTTCGCCATTCTCCAACCATGTTCCCGAGACCATTCGCTATGTATTAACATATCTTCCATACTAAGCACGAGCGTATATGGTCGTTCGAAAAGAGGATCTGGGTCAGGCAGGAGCTTTCGGAATGCAGGCTCGTTATAGTAATTGAGCTGGTCCCGTAGTCGAGCTTTAGCCCGGTTCCACATCAGCCCAAATCCCCAACCCGAAGGCGCATCTTTATGCTCAAGCTCCTCTTCTTCCGTTTCCCAGTTTCGTCCAAGGTAGATAGTTCCTGTCGTAAACATGACCGCAAACATAGCGTACATGATATTTGCTGCCTTTGCCCGCTTCTTCTCTGAAGAGGATATGTATGCCGACGCAGGAAGCTCTCCTTTTCCTCGTCCTCCACCCGCTGCATGGCCAGGGCCTTCTTCTGCTTCTGTAAGATTGAGAGGAGACGATCTAGAGCTTCCTGTTGTCTCATATTCTAGTGTCGAAGGGATGCCCTGCGTGAGGTCCGGTAGAGGTTTGCCGTGAGATATATGGTCTGCCATGTCAGCGCTGGACCCTTCCCCTGCCAATTCCTTCCTTTCTCTCTCCGCGACAGGTCGTGCACCATCTGGGCTCTCTCTTTGAGGACCGGCGTTGCTGTCTGCCTTTGTATGTTCACTGCTTCGAGCCCCTTGCGGTAGGGTGAAGGAGGGGGATGCGCCAGCGGGGCGTGATGGATGAGGGACACCAGGGGGTTTGGAAAAGTCTACATGCTTCTTATGGCCATGGTGCTGGTGTTGACTTGGGCGGTTGTTCTTGGCCATTGACCTGCTCCATACCGTTGACGCTGCTGCACGGAGAGTCGTAGGAGCTGCTCGTGCCGCTGGTGCCCGTAACGACCGGATAATCGCGTTTGACAACATGCCAGGCGAGCTTCAAATCGTCATCCAGTAACTCCAATGAAGAAGATACAGGATATATGGGACACTGATGTCTCGCTACTTCACCCGTCCCGAGGCTCTCTCGTCACTGTCTATAAAAATTATTCGAGGCTGCTGAGTAAGCGCTTATTAATAGAATAAGGTGATTCAAACTTTTGCGCCGGGGATATTTTCCCCTCTTCAAAGTTGACCTCGTTGACGAAATTTGGCTGGACGATCCCGCACTTCCTCCATGGACGGCCAGTTGATATAAAGACGAGCAGAAGAACATGACGATTTCAAGAATTGGCTTATAGACCGGGTCTTCGGGCCTGGTCAAGATTGAAGTCTTTCCCGTGTCATCAGTACATTTCCTGCTGCCAAGTTCAGGTGGAGGACACAGCTCTCTCACATCTCTTTTATAGTTGCTCTTGTTGTCAATAGCCACAATCCTACTACACATTAATGCTACGCCTGCACGACTTCTCTGCAACATATAACCTGCCGACAAATCCTCCCCCCCCTCAAGTGTAGTATCGGACGGATGACAGCACAAGGATGCCCAGGCGAATGAAACATAGCGCTCTGAGCATCCGCTCCCTGCCAGCTATGCCGACATCTCTAGACCCGAGACACAATCAGTTGAGATGCTCGTCCGGAGCCGAAGAGGGCTCGACCGATGAAGAGAATCATGCCTACTTCCCCTTCTTGTCCCTGCCGTCGGAACTCCGGAACAAAATATATACTCTGGTTTTCTCCCTCGCGCCTCAAGTGTTTGATCTTGACCCTTCCACATTCCAACTTCTGAACAGGCAGAAAATGCTAGCATTGTTCACTGTATGCCGTCAGATACACCTTGAAGCTAGTCACCGCTTCTTCAGTACACACACTTTCCGCCTGTTTCCTACATACCCTGGTCGATACTTTAAGACCAAGAGACCTCTTCTGGCTCGATTGCCGCCACACTATCGCTCTTCAATAACCAGCCTGGAGCTACGTCTGGGGCCTGGCTGGAATGCACCGCCTCGTGGGTGGGTTGTTAATGACGCTCTTGGACTCAAAGATTGCATGAACGTACGGATTCTGAAGGTATTTGTGGAGTGTGATCCGAGTGATGCAATTTTCAAGGGATTTCGAAGAGGTGATGGCTTTTACGAGCGATTTTCACAAAATCTCTTAGAGGATGTGTTAAAGAATGTGCCAAGCATAAAAGTCGTAGAATTCGACGCTTGGAGCTCTGTGAAAAGGACTGGCGATATGATATCTGGACTAGGAGAGGTCGTATCGAAGTTTGAGAAAGTAGTTGGCTGGGGTCCAGAGAGGGGTTGGGATCAAGAACTTGACAAGGTTTGGCTGGATGCAGTGCTGATGCACGGTGCCGGTAAGTTCACCAAGAGCGTTGCCGTCTTCTCATGATTGTTGTGTGCACTGAGGATAATGTACTTCTAGCATTTGTCCTGTTGCCGTGACTGAAATCGAAGTACTAAGTAGCAAATGAATCCTCACTCCTGTATTTATTGGCTTTCGCCTGCAAGTGTTTCCAAGTTGTCGGTCAGGTTCTCCCACCCTCCAGGACAACTACCCTTGACCTATTCTCGCGTGATAGATAGGGCTTTAGATTCCAGGTTCTGCAGCATATGAAGTTCTAGGCGTTACATATGGCAAATGTGTTGTAGTTCAAAGGAGGTCCAGTCAAGTTATATTGCTCCATACCGCTGTTCTCTTATAACCCATTTAAAGTCATAGATGCTATTCGCTTCATGGAATAGAAACATCACCTTGAATGCGCGGCTGCCCGACATTCATCCCTCCAGAATATGCTACAATGTAGCACAATGTGCTCTGCATGCTATTGAGTAATATTTCTGGACCTAAAACTCTAGCGTATCTTAACCTGCCTAGTTGTCAATAACCTTAGTCGTCTTGAAAATCTTGGTTCTAATGAGATGATTAATATTAAGAGGGTTGTACTTCACATTTACACTCTTGCCTAATAAATCCAAATATACGGATGATTGTCTTGGAGAGTACAGAATCACACTTATCCCCATGTTCTTCAAACGAAGATGGTTGTCCTTTCATAGTGAAAGGTGTGGACCAACTCCTCCTAATTTTCATGATTTGTTTTAAAGAGTTGGATGAAGTTAAAGAGATCAAGGAGTTGGAGAACTGGTATTCCATTGCTGCACTTCTCAGAAAAGTCACTCCTCACATGTTTGATCGAACAGGCAAAAATGAGTGGGCTGATGAAATGGAAAAAGCTTTCGAAGATGTAGAGCTTGGCGTCGAGATTATCTTCAGCGTCTGTGATGATGAGCAAGAATCCAAATATGATAATGAATACATTAACAAGCTTGGTTACAAACTCGGCTATGAATACAGCTACAAAAAGCAGTGCGAGAAGGGAACCAATATGCGTTGCGTTCAGGGACAAATCTCTCGATGTCTCATGTTGCTAGCATCGCTGGAGGTGTTGACAATTCCCTGGGCTTGAAGTTGACCCAGAGTCTATTCAACTTGGGTATTTGCCATACTTACTAATGGATATTATAAAGGAGTTGGGATTCTCAGCGTCGTATCTCTCAGCTTGAAACTGAACAGCACTGTCCCAGCTCCAAATGAAACCCACGAACCATGTCTGTCCCAGTAGTGTGAATCTTCTTGATTCCAGTTCGTTAAATGAGCTATACATATAAAAACTGTCGAAAGTGATTATGATCCACCGAACTTTGCGTTCTCAAAACTACAAGCTACAGCGTTGTCTGCCTCTCCCTGACACCAGCTGGTATTATACCGACCAAATAAATAAGAAAATGAGTACTTGTTCATAGAAGTATACTAGAATAGAGACGGAGAAACGAGTAGGGATGATGTACTTTATGCTACATAGATAAGGTGCAGATATGAAGAAACGAATTCAAATACTGCTTCCTTCTTCAAGCAAATAAATTTGTACCTTAGCTAGGAAAGGGCTAAGCGAACACTAGCCCGAAAACTCGCTAATCAAAGCCTTCGCAGTCATATACAAGTATATAGTTTTAATTAAGGAATTATTTTAGTAACTGAATTTATGGCCTTGTGGCCTGAGGCAACTTGGCCGAGCGGTTATGGCGCCAGTTTCAGGTTAACCTGATGCATTATTATACTGGTTCGAAAGAGCGTGGGTTCGAATCCCACAGTTGTCAAAATAATTTTGGCCATTTCTAAGTCCCTTTCTTTTTGCCTGGCCCGGACTGCTTGGTTGTATGGAGAGAGGAGAATATCTCGCTTAGGAATTTTAACGAGACTTGCCATAAACAGCAGGCACGTTTCAATGAGCATCAATAGTACTTTATTATTTCTCGCCTCATTAAACACTCTTTTTGTACATTAGCATTATGTCCCATTGTGTCGGATATGGCAATTATCATATTGACAGGGGAAGGGAGGCAGCTGTTGTAAGTAGGGAAGCATACCTTAATGACAACTTACATTACGTCCGGCTCTGGACAGTCGTAGCTATAGAGTACGGGGATAAACTGTCCACATTTAGAACGGGATATGGATCCACCACAGTCTTAGAACTGTCTAATGGGACTTTTATATTTGTGCATTAATGTTAGCTGCCGGAGCAAGTGACCTAAGTCATTCTGATATCGGGCTTCTGAATAAATGTTAGCCAATATTTGCAAAAGGTGCATACTATACTTACAAATGTAGCCAAATAGCAGGCGCCGATATGCCGCCGTCGACACATCGGCTTTCCCTACTGTCCAAAGGACCTGTCATTGAGGCCATCCAGGTCCTGCTCTACAATAATTCAAAAACGTTTCCGGTAACAGCCAGAGGTACACGAGCATCTCATTCTATAAGATCATCCTTCACTGGACTACGGGCGCCTGGGCTGCCACTGCGACTCCTAGCCCTCCCCTTCTGTGGCGCACGATTACCCCGTCCTTTCCCTGGAGGGGGCCGGACAAAAGCAAAGTCGACCTCGATTGTCTGATCTAGTAGCTTCGTTTTGTGTGCGCCATCGATCGCTGCTCGCGCCTCGTCAAGCGTTGGGTACTCAATCAGCGCGTAGCCCTGTTACACGCATTAGCTGGAGCTTGATAACAAACCCACAGGCATCTCCTCCGAAGCGGACAACAACGATAAAAATAAACAAGCCAACAGACCTTAACGTAACCCGTCCGGCGATCAAGATTCAAATGTAGGTTTTTAATCTCTCCATAATCCGCAAATTTGTCATTCAAGTCCTCTTCGCTCGCCTCTTCGTGCACGTTGGTCACAATTATGATCCAGCCTTCAATAGAGCGGACGGCAGTCGCATTACTGTGGGTGGCCATGCTGAGGTTGCCAGCTCCGCCTTTGGGCGATAAAGGGGCTGTGTCGATATCCATTGCCGTGTCGGCCATGATTGCAGATAGCGTGGTTGGTGACGTTGGGAAGTTGCAGGTTAGAGGTAAAGTTGAGCAGCGGAATTTTGGCGAGGTTCGCGAGGCTGCGAATCGGCGGAGAAAAGAAATTCCTTTCCAGCTCGTTTGGCCAGCATAACGGGTTTGGCCGCATCTGATCAGTAGCAAACCTCGTCTCCACACGTTTTTCAGTATGTGGTTGTACTTTGTGTCTTAATTGTATCGATTATATTATGATATAGGTTAATATTTCTTCAAAAATTAATGTACTGGCGTTCCAGCGTGCACGCTGTATACTAGAAGCAACAATATAGTCCTATCATTTCCATCTATGACAGCCCCTTCTACTTGCAATTATTTTCTCTAGTGCCAAGTTTCTCTATCTGTGCTATATGTAATTTTTCACAATATATCTAACTTGACAGTTTCTATAGGACTTCTTCTCCGGTCAGGAGAATTGCCCGATTGCGAGACCACCTCGCCTCGTTGAGTCACTCCATTCTTAGGAGTAACATGAACCAATCTCGATGAGGCAGGTTTGATTATTTATGATATCATCCGCATAATTTACGCTCTGGACTAGTGTTGACAACAGGATGAGGCATTTGAATTTTAATACCTAAGGCCGTGGCGATGTCGGCCAGCAGTTCCTAACTTCATTGGTTGAGACTTGCAATCCCTGAATTGTTATGGGTAAAGAATACCCCGAATGACAACTAGCTTATCTATAAAGGCAGCATATCCACTCTTCTATCTGCCAGTATGTATTGTACAACTTATTTCCAAACTCTCATAGCAGTCACAATCCGCAAGTGCGACGACCCAGCATCCTCTTCTTGCTTGCATCACTATTTACAATGTCATCATCGAACGCTCTCGAGCTGCAAACCGACCGCAGAATTGCTTCGGTAGTAAGCGGTGAGATAAATGCGGTTAACACCAGAGAATTGCCTAGAGATATTCCCGCTGAAGTCGAGCTCCCATCTCTGCCTCTGCCAGACCGCGGCCGGCAGGCATATCTAGTACTCCTAGCATGTACATTGATCCAAGCACCAATCTGGGGTAGCCGTATCCCTCTCTTCATATTTCTTCGTATTCTTATCTAGATTATAGGGTACTCACTCTCTTTCGGTGTGTTCCAAACATACTACACCACTTCTCCCGCATCGCCATTTTCCACAGTTGACCCCGCTTCCGTTGCTACTGTGGGCACTACATTGAACGGGCTGATGTACCTCATGATGCCTATTAGTTTCACTGTGTTGACTCGCTATCCTGGCCTTCGTCCCTACTGCGGATTTACTGGGCTCGTGATTGCGGCCGCTTCTCTGATCATGTCCAGTTTTGCGACTCGTATATGGCAACTTCTCGTTTGTCAAGGGATACTCTGCGCCATTGGAAGCGGCCTCCTCTTTGCTCCCACCACTCTGTATCTCGATGAATGGTTTATCTCGCGAAAGGGTATCGCTTATGGCACTCTTTGGGCAGGAAAGGCTCTATCCGGAAGTGTCTTCCCTTTCTTAATGTCATCGTTACTCTCGCGGTTCGGCGCCCCCACCACCTTACGAATCTGGGCCATCTCACTTGTCATAATCGCGAGCCCTCTGTTGGCTACTCTCAAGCCGCGCATTCCGTTTTCAGCTGCGACAGCACGACGACCTCTGGACTGGCGATTCCTCAAGATCACTTCTTTCTGGATGCTACAAGTTGGTAATATCTCTCAGGCTCTGGGCTATCTGCTACCCACCACCTACCTTGCATCTTACGCAAATGATTTAGGCTTGCCGACCCTCACTGGCGCCATCCTCATTGCAGTCTATTCTCTCGCTTCTGTTCTAGGTAGTCTAGTCACAGGTTTTCTAAACGATCGGTTGACTCCAACGACTGTAATTCTCTTGTCCTCTCTGGGATCTACAATTTCTGTCCTTGTATTCTGGGGTCTAAGTTCCGGAATTGCGCTGCTCTCTGTCTTTGCCATTTTTTATGGATTTTTTGCTGGCGGATTTAGTAGCACGTATCCAGGTATTCTCCATGAAATGCGGAGAGAGGATAGTAATGTGGATACTGGATTAATTATGGGATTGCTACTTGGTGGAAGAGGGGTAGGTTTTCTAATCGGCGGACCATTTAGTGGGGGACTCATGAAGACGACATTGGGCGGGCTTGGATCTATAGGGTATGACACTCAATATGGACCGATTATCGTGGCATCTGGCGTAACTGCCCTCTTCGGGAGCTGGGGTTGGATGTGGAAGAGTATCAAGGGAATTATCTCTTTGGTACAAAGGGTGTAAAGAGTCAGGTCCAAAAAAGAATCAATTGTTCGCCATGATAAAATTTGCCGCTTACGAGAGCAGGACTTTTCAAGTTAAGTGTCCCTGCAAGTAGAGAATATAGAACAGTTTCCTATTACTTCGACCTGAAGAAAGGAAGAAATATTTCACACCCAAGTTCTAAAGCGAGTGCGCCCCCGGAATCAATAGTTTGCTCTGAAGTATCAAAGCGCTCAAAGCTCGACGTAAGGCCCGACGAAAATGTTAAACTCTTCTTCCTTCTAATCTCCCTATAAATGATTCTGACCAACTTGAACATACAATCTCCTGGTACTTACAACAATGTCCCGAAAGCGCACCTGGCATTATCACCAACCTCAAGTCTAAGAGCGTGATATTAGTTAGGAATGGAAGATCTGAAGTCGGGCGTAAGCGAGTCAGTCAGGGTCCGAACAAACCCCGCATACCTCACCTGCACCCCGCAGCTGACCCGCCTCAAGACGTCCCTTCATCGACGATATCCAATAAACCGTGATCCCTTCTCTGGTGGAATTTTCCTGTTCATATTACCCCATGATCTTGATTGCTTCGATGTCTTTGCTCCCCAGTCTATGATTTGATTTGCTTTGCTTTGCTCTACCTCTTGGTCCCTTAAACAGCCAGTCCTCGCCCGCCTCACCGCCGCCATGCCGTCCCCCATACGCCTTGTGATCAGGCTACCCGCTCTCCTATGTCTCCTGTGCGGCATTGCCTTTGCAATTGGCACTTCTACTCCGGCAGCACTACCGAATCTTCCTCTTCCTGTATCTGAACAGCTTCCACTCCTTCCTCCGAAGCAGATCTCTCCACCCGCGAACACCGAAGACTCGATCTTCTCTCACTTTATCCTGGCGCTGGATGTACTACAGCAAGAGTTTTTCGCTATATGGCAAGGTGTTTGGCCAACTTCCATAGACTGGACTTCAGCTGTTCTCGGGACGCACTTTTCAGCTGCTCTTACGACACTTTCAGCATCATACTTAAGCCTTGAATCGGAGAAGGAGAATGAAAATCTGATCAATAAGTACTTTTCCCAGCTTGTTGGTGCTTATTTTGCACAAGATGTATTCGGGATAATGCAGGAGGCGCACGATGACATGCTATGGGTAGTGCTAGAATGGTTGGAGACTATCAAGTTTATCAATACCCACTCAGCACTACATTATGCCGGTACCTCGGCGCGTGAGGGGCAAGACTGGTACGGAATGCAGTACATTCCCGCTTTTGCGCATCGTGCACGTATATTCTGGGAATTGGCTAGCAAAGGGTGGGATAACACGCTCTGCAGGGGAGGGATGCTTTGGAGTCCTTATCCCCCTCCCTATAAAAACGCCATAACGAATGAGCTATACATTACCGCGAGCGTTGCGATGTACCTGTACTTCCCTGGAGATGATAATGCGTCTCCATTCAGCGATTATATCCCAGGATATATTGATGTTGAATCGCCTGGCAAGCCTCATGACACGAAGTACC